AGAACCCTAACTATTGAGCAAATGTCATTCTAAATAATGCAGATTGACACACATTGAATTCTGCACTAAAATTCCAGGCGTAAAAATGAATGTTAAAGGAATTTTTTTTAGCCAGCTTAGCCAGCTCATGTCACTAGTTTTAATAATTGTTGATGTAGAAATATTAATATTAAAATGTTTATCGTTAATGAGTAACTTGTGAAGAGAAATTTGGTCAACTGGCACCATTATTGATGGTGATCAATTTAAATCTAGACAATAAGCTGGGTAACTCCATTAGATGAGAGAAAGAGAAGGAGGGTGACCAATTAAAGAACAAAATATTTAAAAAAGACAAAAAATTAATTAAATATTTGCAATATTTTTATTTTTATTAACCAAAATGTATTTTATTTCACAGTAAATAATGCTGTAATGATGACATATACCACATTGTATCATTCGTTAATTTACTATTTAAATAGTGGTGATATTTAAGAAATATTGATGTGACTTAGATTATACACCGTTAGAACTCAATAATAATGAATATACATGATAAACCAATATTTTTTTATTATTTACCTATTAAAATTTATCTCTACAAGCTAATTTTATTAAGATTTATTAAACTAGAGATTTTTTTTTGTGAAAACATGGACTTTAGTTTAACAAGTTCTGGCTGTATATATATATGCACGTTATATTCCTACAATGAATAAATAAAATTCTAAAGATTTTTTTGTAAAAGTTGCAATTTTATTTATTAAAATTTGTTAATTCTTTAAATAATACAAGTATCCCTATAGTTGTCACTGTAACTGCAGTAAATAACCCAAAAACTGCAGTGAATGATCCAACAAGGGTAGGTGCTAATAATGCGGCTGTCAGTAATGGTGATCTAAATGTTGGATTTTTTTTTAATGGAGTTACAGGCTTATTTGAAGACAACAACAACAACAACAACAACAACAATCTGGACCAATTTGATTATACAGGTGGCAATAAGTTTTGAGAATAAATAAAGTAATTTTATTTATAGTGATTAGAGTTTTGTTGCGCATTTGTTATATAATTATAAAGTTACCAACCCAACAACTTTTTTATTACCATATATAGCAAATGCCAAAATGACTATATAGAAATAAAATAAGCATTTTATAAAAAAATATCTACATATTATGTATTAAAAATATATTTTTATAAAGCAATATGTATATGTTATGAATATGTTTAAAAATATTATATATTATTATGCATATTAACTATTATAACCATCTATGTATTAACTAATGTATGTATTAACTATTATGTAAACATTAAAAATTATACTTTATCTAAGCAAATGAAGACACTTTAAACTATCTATAAACCAGAATTTCAAAAAAAAAATTCATGGTGTGACAATTGTGTTGGATTTTGTGTGTTAGTATATCATTGTTCTTAATGGTCTTTGGATTCCTTATTCAAATCAATATCTTATAATTTTCTTTTAAATATTTCGCAGCTATTAGTTTTAGCCAATCAGATATTGTATCAGAAATAAAAATATTTGATGATCATCACCATCTTCAACTTTCTTTTTTTGTTTTGTATGGCACGCCATGCTGGACAAAAGTGTACCACATTTTGTTGCAAAAAGTTGCAACATTTTGTTGTAAAAAAATA